ATGGAGGACCTCAGTTTAGCTTGTTTGTCGCGCTAGCGCCGAGCTAATACATATAAGGCAATATATCAAGAGTCAATCATCAGATATTGTCCAAGATTAACCTTCAGGATGGATATAGCTCGCTAGCAGCCTCGCACCGAGGACCTATCCACGTCATCATTTACCCAGAATGCTTTGCGTGTAAAAAAAATGGCCCCGTCCATTTTAAAATGTATTTTAAAAAATTTACGAATCTAAACATCCTACAGTATTTTTACAGTCTTTATTTTACAGTTAAAATAAATGTTTATCAAATAAAGTCTAATGTTACAACTAATCGGGGATCCAAGTCCAAACTACCTTTAAAAACCAACAGATAAATCATATACGTTTAGAAAATTAAATACAACAAGCTAAAATCCAATTACAGTAAAGTGATTAAGTGTTTTTCTTTTTATTATTCCATCTAACTAAAGTTGATTGTTGTGTTTATAACTTCGCTGAGTTGTATTTTGAAATAGGCTTACAGAAATATTTGTGTTAAATCATAGAGAAATATTCCTTAGATGTATTTCAGTTAAATGATTATTGTGCTACAATTGAACTTTAGTCCTTTTAAAACTGTGTCGAAGTTAAACTTGTTGTCCGTAGAAACAGGTGCAAAAGTGTTTCTGCTCTGGTGAGTTCTCCAGTCTCAACAATTTCCACTTTTCCTTCTGTTTAGCCAGAGAACCAAGGTTGTGTTTTTTAGCTTCTGTTCCTTTAGTTACTAACTCACAATTTTGGTTCATTCTGTAAGTGAAGAAGGAACGAGAAACAGCTATTTTCGTTTCTTGCTGACCTTCCTTCGGGAAGCCAGCATGACGGAGGCTTTTTCTCAAGAGTTAAAGAGGAAAATCTCCTGTCTGGGCTTGAGGCACGCCAGCCTCAAGTCACCTTTGAATTTTTTATTCTGAGAGAGAGAACTTTAACAGCAAGCTGGAATCTGCCCACTCAACAAGGCAGATCTTTGAGACACTGGAACCAACAAATCCTGGAGTTGTACCGGGGTTAAGTCTTCCTGGCCTGGACGTCTTAACGTGCCGAGTCCTCCTGATCCCAGCTGACCTGACGGTCGATCACCAGAAGGTAGAAGCTGTTTTGTGAAAGTGTTTTGGGATCCAGCTGGTGGGGCGAGAAGCAGATCTGGGGTTGTTCTGGTTCTCTGATTTTGATAAGATAAATGATAAAAACTAAATCTACACTAATCCTCCTTTTTTCCTTAACTTTTCTAAATCTAAAGATTCTTGCCATAAGCTAAAGTGCCGTAAGCTGAGTTTGATAATATCTAAAGACTAGTTTACTGTTTTGTTATTTCTGCGTGTTGGTATTTACAATGATTCACGTCGGACGCGAAGTGTTTATTGTCAATATTTTCCTCATAAAGTTCTGATTATTAACCATTAATTTGTACATAAGTTAGTTCATTTCTTCTGTAAATAAATATCCTTTATTTTAGAAAATTGAACTGACTGGAACTACAATTACTGAGTCTGTCTTTTCTCACTTTCATTCTGGGAGAGGTATCAGTCTTTCATGAAAAAAGAACCCGTGTTTCCTCATTAATTTGAGATGTACGGACAGTGGACGTCTATGGAGCCCGCCGGGGGTCAGTGGGGCGGGCTCCATAGACGTCTCTTACATACAGCGGGTAAAATAAGTATTGAACACATCACCATTTTTCTCAGTAAATATATTACTAGAGGTGCTAATGACATGAAATTTTCACCAGATGTCGGTAACAACCCAAGTGATCCATACATACAAAGAAATCAAACCATAAATGTCCAGAAATGAAGTTATTTGTAATAATGTGGAATGGCACAGGGAAAAAGTATTGAACACATGAAGAAAGGGAGGTGTAAAAAGGCATGGAAAGCCAAGACACCAGCTGAACTCTCTCAGTAATTAGAAAGCAAGCCTGCCTCTTGTCAGTGCAAGTTAATATCAGCTGGTTCAGTCCCAAATGATGGCCAGGTATCACACAAGAACCATCTGATGATGGGTAAAAGTAAAGAGCTCTCTCAARACCTTCACAACCTTATTGTTGCAAAGCATAATGATGGCATCGGTTACAGAAGAATGTCTAAACYTCTGAAGGTTCCAGTGAGCACTGTTGGGGCCATAATTCAGAAGTGGAAAGAACATCATTTCACCATAAAACGACCACGACCAGGTGCTCCTCGCAAGATTTCTGACAGAGGAGTGAAAAGAATTATCAGAAGAGTTGTCCAAGAGCCAAGGACCACTTGTGGAGAGCTTCAGAAAGACCTGGAATTAGCAGGTACGATTGTTTCAAAGAAAACAATAAGTAATGCACTGAACCACCATGGCCTGTATGCACGCTCACCACRCAAGACTCCACTGCTGAAGAAACAGCATGTTGAAGCTCCTTTAAAGTTTGCTGCACAACATTTAGACAAGCCTGTGTAATACTGAGAGAATATAGTCTGGTCAGATGAGACCAACATTGAACTGTTTGGATGCCAGAATACACATCATGTTTGGAGGTCAAATGGCACTGCACATCAGCCCAAAAACACCATACCAACAGTGAAGTTTGGAGGTGGGAWCATCATGGTGTGGGGCTGTTTTTCAGCATATGGTACTGGCAAACTTCAAATAATTGAAGGAAGGATGAGTGGAAAAATGTACAGAGACATTCTTGATAAAAATCTGCTTCCATCTACCAGGATGATGAAGATGAAACGTGGCTGGACATTTCAGCAAGACAATGAGCCCAAACACAAAGCCAAGGAAACTCTCGCTGTATATGTTGATTGATTTTTCATTTTCATTGACTATTTTTTATTTTAGTATTAAGTGGGTTTTTTTTGGCCACACGTGCACTGATGTTTCCCTGCTCCACAGCTGGTTCATGTGGTTCCGTGCTGAAGTCACATGCAGCAGTGTGACGTGAACCTCCCCTCAGTGTCGAGGCGGGCTCCGGCACAAACTCTCTGGATGACAGCCTACGTTCGCAGAAGATGGACCGATGGGTAAACGCTTGCATGTGTGTTTATTTTTATGTCCTCGGCGCTCAGGTAGAGTATGTGGATAATTGAGCATGGGTCAGTGACATTCCTTTTATGTAAGCACATAAAAGCTATTCTGAGATAACTCTTTGCTTGAGATGGGACCAGATGGTCTGCTAAGTCATGCATGTAGAGATCACATGTGAAAAATATGGTGCATGCTCTTCAAATGCTTTCATCTTGTATTGTACAATCAGTGTAACGTGTGCAAGAAGGATGGAAACAATAAAAGTTAGGAGAATTTGACAGTGTTGAGTAAAAAAAGAGCCAGTCTCCTCAGAACTATGAAAATAAATGACAGCGATACATTTAAACCGAAAAAAAAACAAAAAACAGCAGAGTCATGCTGCCCATCAAAACCAAACATGAAAATACTATATCTGAATAGTTCAATGTTAAAAATTAATTATGAACCATAATTTTAAATACAACCCTGTGTGAATGTTAAATGAAAGAATAAATAGAACTTGATTTATATTGCAAACTAAGTGAACTCATGTTTTGCCTAATCAGCATTATTTTCTTATCTAAACATTTCTGCATTTTAGCTCAGCAGCACACTTTGAACAAGGAGAAACTGCGCTAAACTTTTACAATTTTGAAGCGTTGCATTGTCTTCTCCAACTATTTAATGATGTTCAAAGATAAAAAAAATCAGTGGTTATTTTACTCCAATCCTACAACAGAGTTTTAGGGCCAGATTGTGAGAACTCAGTCTTACCGCTGCATTAAAATGAGGACTGTTGTGCATCTTGTGATGTTACTTTGTACGTAAGCGTTACTCTTTTAACGCATCAGCTGCTGTTTGGCTGAGCTGGTCACATCAGATCTTGATAAGATCCCAGCTTTTTCTCTCATTAAAAACACATTTTTCTCGTAATTTTATATGTTTCTCCTGGTAATATTGCTGCTTTACTCGGCTAATATTGTGACTATATACTTATAATATTACAACTTTATTCTTTTAATATTACTCGTAACTTTATTCTTGTATGACTTTATTCTCATAATAGTATAACTATTTTCGTAGTAAAAAAAAAACTCAGTTTGACCTTAATACTCCACCGTACAGTCCTTCAGTAAATACATCCTAAGCTTTGAGGAACGTTGTCTTGAACAATCAATGAACATTTCTCACTCATTTCTTGACAAACCAAAGCTCCTCTGCTTATTTTACTCCTTTAATCGTTTTTCTGTTATGCTGCTATTTCTCAAAATTACACATATCTATCTTTGGGGGGTTTTTTTTTGGCCTAACTTTGGTTAGAAATACCCTTTTTTTTGCTTTTATCTTCATAATTAGTCTCAAGTTTCCCCCAGTTTCATGTCTTTCAGACCTAGAACACGTGTGTATTAACAAATAAAGCTGACATATATATATATATATATATATAT